ATTAATATTTAAATAGTCGTTTTGCGGCTTAATATTTACAAATACTAGTGGGAGTGCGCGCACGTGTGTGTGTGAATGTGTGTGTGTGCGCGCGCGCATCGGGGCGGAACTCCGCTCTGCGTGATACAGAGAGAGCGACCATAACATAGAGACCGAAATGACATGCCTTCGTGTAAATAAGATAAATAACATAAGGCTATTTAGTTTGTTTAATAAAATAACTAGGTATAGACCCGTTCTATCGGAAATACAACTTTAAATGACTTCTGTTGTGATCTAGCGCTATAGAGAAAATAAATTTAAATACTTGACCTTCAAGGGGGCCGCCCCCCTAATATAATGGCAGGGGAAACACTGGCGTGGTAAATCGGACGGCAGTACGGCGGAAGGAAGTGGGTCAGACATAATTTTTTGACCACTTCATACGTTTTTGTTTGTAGAATCCCTTTTTTTGAAACGAGTTTCGTTTGGTATAATTTGTATCTTAATTTTAATATGTTTTTTGATGGTCAATTATTTACCTAAATAAATAAGAAGAAGGAAAAAACGTTTCGTGGTATGAAGTGCGTTCAAGACAAAGCCCGCTACCATGCTTCCATGGCCAAAACAAAGGCCGAAACATGTATTATTTTATTAATTTACTTATTTATTTCATGCTATTTACAATGAAAATGCTATAATTTAATAATTGACACCCCTCATTTAATGACACCCCTAAGTTTTCATCTGGATAATCTGTTATGCGAATCTGAGTGGCTGGCCTTTTACTCATTTATAAAATGTTTCTCTCTCCATTGTGTGATATTAGACATCTTGGAACATTTATGCTGCTACTGAAATATGGCTTTAATTCATTCAGAGGTTACATAACGGAGAGCGATTCAAGTACATTGGCAAAGGAGTAGCCATCAAATTTCTCTAAATGTGCAATTAACCTCGACCTGCAATGCACTTTCCAGAGTTATCGTACACTGCATGAGGTTCTTAGAAAGGTGTCAACAGTGTCATACCTGGAGCAAAACTGGTCTTGCCGTAATATCGGACAACCCCTGTCCTTTGTCCCACCACCAATACACGCTCCCCCAAATGCACCTCTAGGCTCTCTTGTGTTGTGCTGCTGGCTGAAGGGGTCCTGCTGCGAGCAATTACTGATGAGAAAAAAAAAAAATGTATCCAAAACATCTTAATCTCTTACAGATACACTCTATAATTGCAATCCAATGTAGTTATCATTGTTTACAAAAGAAAAAGGTAATTAAAAAAGAAAAATGAAAACTATGGAAACCTAAACACAGAAATTATGCCAAAACATCAACTTAAAACATAAAAAAAATACCACTATATGGATGAACCTTCTACTATTAATATCCATTTAAAAACGTTACGAATATTGCACTCAAAATATAGGAGGGGGTAGGGGAAGTTGCATCAGTTAATGTATCATAATATTAGATATTAAAATGTTAATTGTATAGTAAATTTTATGTGTCCAGTGACCGGATATGTAGAAAGGTTACTTGGAAAAGGTTACAAATACTTAGAAGCATTGTTATGATAAATACTTTCTACGTGACAGTAAGTAAATAAATAAATAAATAAATATTACAGTTTTTAAATGAAGAAAATGTCTTCAAATAATCTCAGAGAGTGCAGAAAATTATCAAGGATTTTCCCTAAGAAAAAATAAAATAAAATAAAATAAGAAGCTACTGTAGCTATGCAAATTTTGTAGAAATGCAAGGAGGGAGAAACTTAAAACAACATTAAACCTTCTCATGCTTCTCAAGTTTATGGATATCTGTAAATGCTGTGAATAGTGTAAAGCAGAACAAGACTCAGCAAAGGGATAATGCATTAAGTTTTTTTTTTGATGATCTACTAATTTATGTTCACATATTTGCTGTGGGATTAGTCGTTGCCCTTGTGGCTGATGCAAGACTGTGTTAAGAATCTGATCCCTCCTCAGGGTTTATTTTGTGATAATGTTAATGGACATTATTATTTACAAATACAAATACAAAATACTATTTACTGTAGATAGTACTGTAAAAACTAGTTTGCAACAAGGACGTACCAGAGTGTGGCGTGGCGGTGAGGGAACGGGAGGGAGGAGGAGGAGTAGATCTGGTGCTAGGAGGGGTCCGTTCCTGCCATGGCCGCAGCGGTGGTCTTTGACGTGGGAGTGGCCGCGGTGGTCGCCTGGATGTTTGTCTGGAGTCCAAAGAGGAAGAGGAGGTGGAACAACTGCGTGAAAGAAGACCTGTACAGACAGAAAGAAAAGATAGAGTGGAACTATAACAAATCCATCCATCCATCCATCCATCGTCTCTCAGAATTTAACATTTCTTGGAGGTGCCTTAAGGGGAAAGTGTACAGAAATGGCAGAAAAAAAATGCTTTCATGATATGATGCAGACAATTTCACTTTTTTTGCCACACATCACGCAGAATAATATTGTATAGAACAGGAAAATTACTCCCAGTTACCATTAACCTCTTCTCCTTCTTGCCTAAATAATATCTCATGCAAGGGAAATCACTTGCGCTCCACTTCTATTGGTATTCGCCATGTTGTTACTCATTTGCATTAAGTTAAACTTTAACACATCCACACTAGGGCTGTCAAAATGGCTGAAAAACTCAATTTGAATTTTGTAGTTGAATTATATTCAAATTTAAAATGCATAATTTCAGTTAGGGTGAAGAAAAGCTTTTGGATTCTCTCCTGAGGCCACAAGAGGGCGCATCGAGCAAAATATTACTAATGCACGTTTCTTCAAAGCATACGATAACATGACTATCTGTGAAAAAAAGTGCATAATGTTAAAAATAATGTTTATAAACCAATTATAATTAATTAAGTTGCTTAAACAACTATAAACAAAACAGCATCATGTATGTATACATAGTTTAATACAAAGGGCCGAAAGCCAATCACACAGAGTACATTTTTCATTTAAAAGCACGAGTTGAAGTGGGATGGGGAAAAAACCCCGCCATAAAGTCTCGTGATATGTTTTTTCAAAGTCGAACTTTCATTAATTTTACATGGCTTTCTAAACATGCGGCTCTTTTGTGCGAGACGAGAGTGCAACGGTGGTAGATGTCCCTCTAGAAAATGCGCGAAATATGCGTTCTGTGTGAACGGCTTGGTTTCAGTTTTGACGTAAACAAGATCTTCTCCGCATTGATGTTTTCTTTTCCCGCAATATTTGTAATGAACAACGCAGCAGCACCGCATCTAGTGGCTTTAACTGGATAGGCTAACAAAAACATTATAATGCAACGACACTTACATCGTCATCTCATCTCGTGCGCCACTGATAAGGCTGCCTCCT